TTAATCTACAAATATATATATATTATTATAATTTGTACCGATAAATATATTAATTGTATTTGTCATCACTTATTTGTTAATTTTAAACTGTATAATGTTCATTTTTTACTCACGTCTCACACATAGGCATGACCCAATTGTATATGTCTTATGAATAGAATGGTTTTAGAATGAATTGATTCAAAATATGTGCGTTGGTTGCCTATCAGGTATTGTTTTATAGCAATACTTTTTTTTAATAATTGCATAAAAAATAAAATAATATAATAATGACAAAGCTGCGACAGCAAGTACTATAGTAAAAGATAACATTACAATAGATAAGATATACGTACCACGTACGTATGTATGACATATTGATATTTGTAAAAAATTTTAATTATTATCATCGTGATTCCGAGAATCCATTAAACTGTCGGTTGGTAGGCGGTGGCACGCGATATTGGATTACACAAACTAATGTTTATTTTTACAATGACACAGTTCGTCAAATGGACGTGTGACGTGAATTGCCTAAATATTACTCCTTAAAATACTTCTTGGAATGTTGGAACCCTCTTAATGCTTATTGTTTATTTCGATTATTACTTTGAATAATTATTGATTTAGAACCTATATCTTGTGGTATGAACGATGATGAAATACTAGCCAAATTAGATTAACTTCTAGCGAATGCAGAATCTGACGACGAATTTGGATTCTTTTAGATTATTTATATGGTTCATAATTTCATAATGGGAACATAAAAAATAGAATCAGGAATTAAAGAATAAAATCAGTCTTATCGAATCCTTTTTTAATTATTTTATCAGAAATGTTTTTGCAAACATTACAAAAATAATTATAAAATTCATTTGCGATTTCCTTTTCATYACACAATAAGAGCGAATAAACTTATTACTTTCAACACAATTGATATTCCACTTGCACCTTTCTTATATGGTATCACACTTACTTATTATGCATTATGTATATGGTCGTATGGATTGTAAATAAAGTTTTATGAAAAAAAAATATAAATACTTTTCATAACACAAGCCTAATCTTTTGCCTGCATACTTGAATACTTTTAAATAGTATTTCTTACTACTTTACTAGGCTCCCAATTTGGAGCACTATATTTTTTTTGCTTCACCTGTTGTATATGATATCAGTACATTTGCAGCGTCGTTCAGTATCTATAACATTTTAAACAAGGATTGTCATTTATCAAACTGCGCTGCTCCTCACCTTAACCAGAATGTACGAATTTCATTTGGGTTAAAAACAAGTAATGTTCGAATTCCATTGCACTCGATCTGATCATTTGATAGAACTTATTATTATWGTAACTATAGTTGACAATTGAATACCTAATGTATGTGTCAATCGGTTTAGTATTACAACTAAGTTAGGATTTTGATGCAAGGGCATCTTTTTTTCTGATGCTTTGAAATTTTAGTCCGTAAGTATAAAATGTGTTTTGGGTGATACTCATTATTTTAAAGTAATTTAATTCTTTTAATTTTTTTTAATTTTTTGACAAAATTAACTTTAAATGTATTTTTAGTGTATTTTCTTAGTTTTTAGAGTATTTTTCACAATTTATTCTTAAAATGAACGAAAATTGTTGCGATTAACAAAAGACATTCGATAAACAGCCAACGGTATGAATCATAAATTATATAGCCCGACAAGTTATCGTCAATAACAATTTTATTATGGCCATGCCTTTTCACTAAAATTATCGCCGTTATATAGCTGTTATGTATTACTAATTTTATTACCACCAAACATACAAAGGAAAATAAATAAATACACTACCATAATTTAATATTCAATTTGTTTCAATTGTTTAAGCTATAATAATTTAAATACATATTTACAGTGCATTTTTTGTGTTTTTAAGCCATTTTTGAGAGATTTTTTAGGATATTAAGCCCTATATACTTATAGTAAATGAAAATACATACTTATATATAATTATTTTTAAATTTTAACTATGTAATATTTAAATTTCAAGTATTTATTAATTTTGATATAATAATTATCATATTGTTAWGATATTAAATTTAAGCTGTAGCTCATCTATGTACTATGTAATTGTTATAATAAAAACAATAAACTTTAGATAGGTATTAAAAATACAAATTTTTTTTTCGGAACGCCGACTGATATTCATTGCAGGTAAATGGAAACGAGTGGAGCATTCGAACATTGACCTTTTTATGTCCCGAGTGCAATTCGACAAAAATAGATGTAATTCGATCGATTAATAATTAAAACGATCTCCGCTTAAAGCGCCTAACGTTTAAAATATTAGGTATGTACATTTATATATTGCATAGTAGCAGATACTTTAGTTCTCCTTTTGTAAAGTCGTATACTACTTTAGAAAAAAAGTGAATAATTTGTTATAAGACAATAAAGTGGCATAAACTACCTACCATTGCCTTCAATATAAAACTTTATTATCTGAAATTTAAATCACTATGTTTTCTAATAATAACTATGTAGGGCAAGTATACAAAAAAGAATTCAACAACTAAATAATAAGTAATGGCTTTGTTTGACACAGAATATTCATAGTGAAACACATTACGACCAGTTGATATACCCACACATAATTCGTGATAATTTGAAAATGTATATAATATGTACATAATATATTACATTTTTTAGAACTAAAACGTGTCGTTAAAAGCCGAGGGTGTTACTTTGCTCAGCATAAGTGTTCGTCATCATTAAGTAGGAGTGTAGGAAACTA